CCTCCCTCCCTCCCTTTCTGCTGTCTTTCTGAGGGCTGGGGCTTCTGCTGCCGCTATTCCCCCCCCCACCCCTCCCCAACGCCTGCTGGTTTCCGGGGCCGGCCAGGAAGTGGAGGGCGGTGATGGGCAGCCTGTTTTGCCAATCGTCTCCCAGAAACTCAGGCATCTCCTCCCCACGTCTACCAGTGTACTCTTGGGAGCCCCGCCCCAGGAGGGCTCAGGCGGGCCCTCCCTCTGCCTTTGCTCCCATCTCTGGCTCCAGCTGCATCTTTTTATTCTCTAACTCCCTTTGAGTTCTGGATCCCCTGGTGCTGTATTTCTCCTTCGGCACATTCCTTCCTTTATTCTCTATCAGCTCTCTTTTAACTGCCACTTTTACTTGGTCTCTTTTTTTCTCAACTCCGGTTATCTGCTGCTTATTCCCCGCAACTATTCTTAAGGACCCCTCTTCCCGTTCCCCTTTCAATTCTAAGCATTTATCAAACACCTACCTACCATATGACAAGCATTAAGTTCACCTCTCTTCTTTTTCTCTTCAGGACTCCATCTCACCCCATCTCACTCTCCAGTCCTCTGGTCTGGTTTCCTTTGCCCTTTGTCCCTCACTATCTCCCAGCTGTCCAGCTCCCCCCTCCACCCGCCTTCTCTGACCTTTAAAGAGATCTCTTTGACCTCATCCCTGACCCTTTCCTTTTCCATGCTCTTTTCCTTCTGTACTTTTTCTTTCCTACTTCCTTCCTATCAGTCTCCTTACTTCCCCAAGCTGAGACAACCCCTTCTCACAACATACAATATGGGTACATCTTTTCTTCCAATGGAAATTGGGCGTCAGGAGTGCTTTCTAGAAAAAGACAAAGTGAGGAAGAATGCCGATTCCTCTGGATGAGGATGCCTCCTTAATTTGGTAGCCATGTATCTAGTTTTCCACCCCCTCTTCTCTTCCTCCACTCCCATTATCACTTTACTAGGATCATTCCATCACTTCACTCTCCTTCATTTCCACCTTTCCCTCTCAATATCTTAAACCTCCAGTTTCCTGAATCCTCATCTGCCCCAGTCCTTCTTTACGCAACTGCTAACTTCTCATCTTTCCTTACTTTTGAGTCACATGGGATCTTTTATCAAGGTCCCGCCTCTAGCCACACCTTTACCCTGCATGAGTTTACATGCCCTCGGGAAGAGGATTGGTAGTGGGAAGACTGTTACCTAGTTCTGCTCCTTTGGACACAGTGAGGGTCAGTGATTGTAGGAAAGGCCCAAACTCTCCGGGGTCCAACCCTGGAAGAAGACCCTATTTCTGATGGGCAAATTATAAGGAGGAAAGGGCGGGTCTTAAGGAGACCCCCCGCGGGTCTCCTTAAAAGGGGCGGGCCGTGCCCCTTCTGCACCAGTCACAAAGAGGGTGAGCCCAGAGCTTTTCTGCTCTGAAGGTTTAAAACGGAGTTTAAGTCAATCCTGTTCTACTCTGTGTACAACATTAAGAAAGGAGTGGGCCTTTAGTTCAGTTTTGCTCTGTAAATCACCTAAAGTGGGGAGGGCTGAGTCGTCCAGCCGAATGAGTTAACACCAGCTCCGCAGATCGATGTTCGTACTATCCAAACGTCGGGCTAATCCCAGTTCTGCTCCCTTAACTAAAAGTGAGGGGCAGACCCAAGTTCTGCTCTCTACGTCACCAAAGGAGGTTGGAGCCATTTTGAACCCTGCGACCCTAGTGTTTTCCCTCTTTCCCTAGCTCTTCGCCGTCTTTCCCGATGTCGGCCAATCAGGGGAAAAGGAAAAGGCCCAATCAGCAGAAAGTCCACAGCTGAAGGACCCGGATGAAGCGAGCCGAGGACTTGGAAGTGCAAGCCTCGCCAATTGTAGAGCAGTCACCATAGCGACAAGATAGGGGTGAAGAGCTGGAACAAGATAAGGTTCAACCCTCACGCGATTGGCCCACCCCCGTCCCGCCGCGTGCTGCGCAGGCGCGTTTTACCTAACCACCATTTTCCGTCAAGTTCTAGCCAATGAGTTGCTTTGGAGCCATACGCTCCAAAGTCCAATAGCAATCCGGACATTCTCAGAAAGAGGAAGCGAAGGAAAGAAAGGGGCTTATAGTGGGCGAGGTCTATAGGTAGTCCCGAGCAAATTGCTTCTGGCTTGGGTTATGACTGACAACTACTCAGACGAATAAAGCCCTCCGCGGCCAGGCGACAGGGTGTAGCGAGTTGTTACCAATCCCTTGGCATTGCACATTGACTTAGACCGTATCAGCCAATAGCCGTTGTGCGAAGGCAGGACCACACTAACCTTTTCCCGCCCCTATCCTTTGGGCCAATCCTTTCTTTTGAATTCTTTGTGATTGGCAGGCATTCAGACCAATAGTGATTAGGAAACCTTCACGCCTGCCCAACGATCCTGGGCAGGAGGTGGTTTCTGGTTTGTTGGGGCGTGTGTATGTGTATTTGGGGGGACTGAAGGGTACGTGGGGCGAAACAAAACCGGCCATGGCAGCAGCGGAGGAGGAGGACGGGGGCCCCGAAGGGCCAAATCGCGAGCGGGGCGGGGCGGGCGCGACCTTCGAATGTAATATATGTTTGGAGACTGCTCGGGAAGCTGTGGTCAGTGTGTGTGGCCACCTGTACTGGTGAGAATCGAGGAGAGGGGCGGAAGGCGGTGGGTCTCGCTTATATACTGGGGAGGCTAGGAGCGAATAATCATACAGTCATACAGATAATCGGAGGGCACGTTCCCATAGGTGAGGCCCGACAGGAGACATACGACTTTGCTGGTATGTGTGGGTGGGAGTATAATGTCTCTACGGTCGAGATCTGTGGAAAGAAAGGTCTTAGGAACCAGGAGCGGGGGCATGTGATGTGCTGAGAAGAGGAGGTGGGGCGGGGAGTGGCGGGACAATGTGAGACCCGAGCCACCTTACCCCAGAGAAGCGAGGGGTCTTAGCTGTGCAGGTGGAAACAGATGAGACACAAAGGTTAAGGGGAAGCACGCATCAATTGAGTCGGGGAGAACCAGGAAATATGGATCACATTCAGATGAGATCTGGGAGGGGGCTGGTACGAAGGCACTGTGGAGAGGCAGATTTGAAAGGTTAAAGGGTCGTAAAGACAGGAACATTATTGAGCTTGAAAGTGAGGAAAAGGTGTGATGGGAGAATGTGCTAGTAAAGGGGTTTGGTTTGGAGTGATGGGGTTGGGGTTGAAAAGCGGGGTTGGGGTTGAAAAGCGGAAACCCGGAAAGAGGTGGCTAAAGGGAATTAGAAATTAACTTGAAAGGCAGAAAAGAGAGGGCACGAAAATTTGTACGTGTTTGTTGGGGAGAGGAGAAAGGAGAGGATTGAGTGTGTTGAGGATGGACAGAGCTTTAGATGTTGGAAGATCAGACAAGCAGGAAGGCCAAGTTGGCTGGCATGGTAGAGGTTGCAGAAAATCTGAAAAGCAACAGCAGGTTGCCTGGAAAGAGGAGTGAGATGGGATTCTGTGAAGTCTGGGGGTCTGTGTCTCTCTTTTCTGTAGCTAGTTTGACTTTTTTTTTTTCTCCTCCATCCAGTTGGCCATGTCTTCATCAGGTGCGTACTCGGGAGATGAAGAGGGAAATGGGGAGGTCTGAGGAGCTGGAAGACCCTCTTGTATACTGGAAACCACTGTTTTTCTCCCCAGTGGCTGGAGACAAGGCCAGAGCGGCAAGAGTGTCCAGTATGTAAAGCTGGGATCAGCAGAGAGAAGGTTGTCCCGCTTTATGGGCGAGGGAGCCAAAAGCCCCAGGATCCCAGGTGAGAGACTGGAGGTGTTGCTCAGGGAAGATTGAAGGCTTCTGCCCTTGGAAAACGGTGTGGAAGATGACAGGAGAAAATTCTCTGTTAACTTTCTCTCTCCTCTTCCTCAGATTAAAAACTCCACCCCGCCCCCAGGGCCAGAGACCAGCTCCAGAGAGCAGAGGGGTGAGAGTCTTCCTGTCCAGTTGTGTCCCTTCCTTGACAGGTTTTCCGGCTTCCCATCTGACTTTTTCTACCTCCGTAGGCATTCCAGCCATTTGGTGATACCGGGGGCTTCCACTTCTCATTTGGTGTTGGTGCTTTTCCCTTTGGCTTTTTCACCACCGTCTTCAATGCCCATGAGCCTTTCCGCCGGGGTACAGGTAAGAGTCACATTCAGCTCCCATCAGGGAGCCCTGTGAATCCCCTCAGGCCCCCTCCCAGCCTAGAAGCATATGCTTCCACAGCTTTCCTCTCTCCCACAGGTGTGGATCTGGGACAGGGTCACCCGGCCTCCAGCTGGCAGGATTCCCTCTTCCTGTTTCTCGCCATCTTCTTCTTTTTTTGGCTGCTCAGTATTTGAGCTATGTCTCCTTCCTGCCCACCTCCAGCCAGAGGAGAATCAGTATTGGGGGTCCCTGCTGACCCTTCCTTACTCATGGACCCCCTTGACCTCTCTATTTCTGTTGGCTAAGGCCAGCCCTGGACATTCTCCAGGAAAGCTTGGGGAGGAGGAGTGAAGTCTGTGCATAGATGGGAGAGCCTTCTGCTCAGAAGCTCACTCAGTAACATTATAATTCTCTGCCCTGGGGAAGGAGGATGGATTGAGAGAATGTCTTTCTTCTCTTCTAAGTCTTTGCTTTCCCTGATTTCTTGATTTGATCTTGAAAGGGGGGCAAAGCTCCCTCTGACTCTTCCCCCACTCCCATCTTATTGATTTAATTTAATTTTTCACTCCCCAGAGTCTAATATGGGTTCTGACTCTTAAGTGCTTCCTCCCCCTTACTACCTCCTTTAATACAAATTCAATAAAAAAGGTGAAATGTATTGATGGGATCTCTTCCCAAGTTTGCCCCCCACCTTCCTCCCTCCCTCCCTCCCTCTCTTGACAGAAGCATCTTCTCCCCAACTTGAGTAGATGTTTGGTGCAGTGTGGGGGAAGTGTGGGGGTGAGTCCCTTTCCTTCAGGGCCCTCAAGGGTGTAGGGGTGAGGTTGTGTCTCACACACATATACACAGACACACAAGAGCAAGATGTGTCAGGTGTTTACTCATCATTGTGGGGGGCTCTGGTTGTAGAAGAAAGTTTGGCAAGGTGGGGTTATACAGGAGAGAGTTGGTCTGGGGCCAGAACAGTTCAAGGGAAAAAGAAAAGGGAGCTGATGGATGGGATCTCTCTGTGGGCCCCTCAAGGCCCTCCAGTACCACTCTCGCCTGCCTCAGGTTCCTCCGACTGATTCAGCTCTGCACGCTCCTCCTCTTCCTCCTGGTTTTCTGATGCCTTCCTGAGGAGGAAGATTGTGGAGAATGCTGCACGTTGTCGTTCCACCCCCCACCCCTCTTCACTTGCTGCCTGGAAGCCCTAGGTCTGAGGAGTCTGGCTTTCTCCACTCACCTCTCCTCTCCTTGGCGTCGCCGCCTTTGCCACAAGATGACCCCAATGAGCAGAGCGGCTGTCCCCAGGCCTCCCAGGATCCCCAGGGCCAGGGCTAGAGTTCCTGGCCCTGATCCTCCCACAGAGCCTGTAGGGAGACAGGGAAAATTGAGAGCACAGCCCCCACCACTCACCATTCCTTTCTTTTTTTTTTTGAGATGGAGTCTGGCTCTGTTGCCCAGGCTGGAGTGCAGTGGCTGGATCTCAGTTCACTGCAAGCTCCGCCTCCCAGGTTTACACCATTCTCCTGCCTCAGCCTCCCGAGTAGCTGGGACTACAGGCGCCCGCCACGTCGCCTGGCTAGTTTTTTGTATTTTTTTTTGGTAGAGATGGGGTTTCACTGTGTTAGCCAGGATGGTCTCGATCTCCTGACCTCGTGATCTGCCCATCTCGGCCTCCCAAAGTGCTGGGATTACAGGCTTGAGCCACTGCGCCCGGCCACCATTCCTTTCTTGTTGACCATCCCCGCAGTCACATGTGTTGGGGGCTATCTTCTGCTTCCCTGACTTTATCGAACCCCTCACCTGCAGTTGGCCCCTCCTCGCCTGGTTCTGGAAGACAAAGTTGGATCCAGTCAGAAAGGAAGACTTCGGGTTGAGAGAGGGTTATTTAGTGGGAGCTCCAGTGGAGTCTTTCCCTTTCTTTTTTTTTTTTTTGAGATGGAGTTTCGCTCTTGTTGCCCAGGCTGGCATGCAATGGCAGGATCTTGGCTCACCGCAACTTACGCCTCCCGGGTTCAAGTGATTTTCCTGTCTCAGCCTCCCGAGTAGCTGGGATTACAGGCGCATGCCACCACAACTGGCTAATTTTGTACTTTTAGTAGAAATGGGGTTCCTCCGTGTTGGTCAGACTGGTCTCGAACTCCCAACCTCAGGTGATCCACCGGCCTCAGCCTCCCAAAGTGTTGGAATTACAGGCGTGAGCCACTGCGCCCAGCCGTCTTTCCCTTTTTTTAGTTCAGAAGGAAGAAGGGAATGGCTTGGCTGCTCTCTTGGCAGAATTTGGGTGGGGCGGGGAGGTTTGGGTGTGGGTGCACGGAGGGAGAGGTGGGCTGGCTCTTGGGGGTAAGGCCAGAATGGGGCAGGAAATTAGAGCCTGTGCTATCCTGCACCCTAGCCCCAGGGTCTATAGGGCTTGGAGAGAGGTCTCACCGATGATGCTGATGCTGACAGCACGGCTTTCCTGGGGCCCGTGGCTGGGATGGGTGGCCACACACCTGTAGGTTCCCTGGTCCTGAGGCCCCATCTCAGGGAGGATCAGCACAGGGCTGGGGGAAAGGGGTAAGGGCACACCCTGGTGGGGGAAGGGGAGAGGAGACTATTTCAAAACTCTTGTCTTTTTGTCTCCACATCTTCAAATACCCTCTCTTCCTCCTCAGCTCCTAGCCTGCCTTTCCCTCGTTAGCCCTCTGCCCTCCCTGTTGCTAGTTATGGTTCACCCTACCTCCCAGCCCCTCTCTCCAGGTCACTCACATCCTTCATCCAGTGGATCTGAGGAGAGGGCTGGGCAGGGACTTCACAGGTCAGGGTTACGGTTCCACCAGGAGCTACTGCTCCACCTTCTGGCTCTACCACCAATTGGACCCCCTCCAGAGGCACAGGTTCTGGGAGTTGGAAGGGTTATGAGGTGGAGAGTTACACTTGTGAGTGATCCCAGTGGCCATGGGCTTGACTCCCTCTTTCCCTAAGGGTCCGACTTCCAGAATGCACTCACATGAGCTTGGAGCCCTCCCCACCTCTGCTCACCCCAGACACGGGGCTGGATAGGGGCTGTGTGCAAGGCCCGGCGTCGGGGAAGGCCTGGGCTGAAGCTACAGGAGAAGGTGGGATGGGGATTTCCTCCCCGGGCTGGGGTCACCATTAGCTCCGACTGCAGTGTGAAGAGCCCCGTCTCAGGGTGTCTCCTGGTCTCTTCCTTCACAGATACTCCTATGGTAGGAGGATAAGACAAATTATCCCAGGGTGGGTGTGGGAGTGAGATCAGGGAGAAGGCAGCTTGGGGGGCACCTTCGGACTCACCCTTCTCATTAGGCACCAGGGGCTTCCCATCCAAGTGCCAGCTAAGAGTCCCTGCAGGGTAGCTTCCCTCTGACACACATGTCCCCACCTGGGGAAAGAGTGGTGACCTCAGAATCCTTTGAAAATGAGAGATGCCACACACCCACACATACTCGCCTCCTGTTCACAGGACCATTTTCTACTTCTCCTTTCTTTCACTACCTTATTGGGAACACCAGCCGTGAGTTCAGAGGCAGAATCTATAATTTCCGGCGTCCCAGGAATCTCTGAAGGAGGAAAAATCCAATCAGAGGCTGTAATTGTGAAGGTTCTCAAACTCTGTGTGTGGAAATGGGGCCAGTGGAAGTCAGAGGCCCTCATGGGCCAAGGCTAGGGTTGAAGGCTTTTTCTGAGATAAGAGAGGGGGCCTTGGAGAAGGCCCTGGAATTCTTACGGTAGACACGGACTCGGTAGTTGGACTTGGTCTCCTTTCCATTCCTGTTCATTGCCTGGCACCGGAAAATCCCCTCATCCTGGATCCCGACAGCCGGAAGGAAGAGGGAGCCGTTGGGAAGGACACGAGCCACACTATCCCAGGGGCCTCCCTGGGGAGATAGGACCTTCCAAGCTTCTGTCCGGCCTGTATTCTAGAAGCAGAGAAGCAGGGCCTAAACAGTGCAAGGCCTTTGGGAAAGTACTGTGAGGCAGAGTGACAGGGATCCGAATCATTGCTGGTCTCCCTGGAAGTTGGGAAGCTGCAACAGGATCCCCACTTACCAGTTTCCATTCCAGCTGCTGGGGTGGTTTCTTGGGGGCCCCCTTACACTTCAGCACCAGTGGCTCACCGATCCGGGCTGTGATGTTTTGAGCACCTACTACTGCCCCTGGGAGACAGCACCGTGGTAGAGGGGCAGGAAGGTAATGAGGGCTAACAAAATTTGGACAGGGTGCGTGAGGGACCTTGAAAAGCAGTTCCCTGGGTTCTAGGAAAAGTTCTAGGGCAATTGGGGTATGGGGTTCAAGTGCTTTCTGCAGGAAGGGTCAGTGGGGTGGGGGGAGTGGCTCACCCCACAGACTGAGGACCAGCACCCAGGCTCCAACTGCTGCTCCGGCTGCCATCCTGCTTCCTTCCAGGCTCATAGCTCTGTCTGCCCCTCTCCGCGCTGTGGCCTCCGCCCTAGGTGGGGCCTGTACCCTCTCTCCAGCCCCCATCTTTCAGTCATCTTGTCACAGGGAATGCTAGGAATTCATGCCTTTGGGACAAGAGTCCTTCAGGTACTGGAGAAATAATTACCACCCCACCCCTGGGCACTACCAGCCTCTGGGCACAGTCACTTCCCTGGGGGATGGGGAGTGTACCCTCTAGGGTCTCATTCCCTCAGAGCCCCCTATCCTATTTATTCCATCAGTCCATCAGGGCTGCCTGGTGACCCACTGGAGCCCCATGTTGACTGGGCAAGGTTGCATCAATAGGGTTCAGGCCAGACTGTTGTTTGCAAGGGTGCAATTGGGACTGCATCGTGAAGGCAAGGCTAGGGGACAGGAGAGAAACCTGTTTGGAGC